GTGGGGTCTGCCCGGCCACGGGGCTCGCTGCGCAGCGTGGCGCTGGGCCACAGAGACCCCCCATCTGACCAACTAACAGAAGTCAACAGAGCTGGTGTAGCTGAGCTCTTTTGAGTCTTTTCCCTGGTCCTGTGGCATTTAACACATTTAGGAAGGCTACTTTTGGGGAGATTTCGTAAGGTAAAAGCCTGACGTGAAAAAGGCAGTTCAGTGCTACGTGGGGCTGCTTACTTTAAAGCTTTTTTAAAAAGTGTTTCGGCAAACGGTCACTGCAAGTACCAGTGACTTTTCCAAATGCATTTTGGTTTAATTGTACCAGTTCTTCTGTCTGAAGAAGTGCCACTTGTTGTCCTGCACGTACTGCCTGGGTCTCGGATCGGCTTGCCCGCGGGGACGGCAGGCAGAGCTGGCACGGCTGCGCTCAGGCTCACCCGGAAGGTCGGCACCCGCCGCGCTGCGGGACCCCGGCGCCTGCCCAGCCAACACGGCGACTGACGGCCGACAGCGCTGGACAGCAAGGACAAAACAGCCCTGATGTACCAGAACACTCCTTCCCCAGAGCTGCTGGCACCTCTAGAAGACAAACTCTTAAACAAAGGCACAAGAAGTGGAGCAGTTGTGCAGCTGTGTATTGAGCAGGAACTTTCTTGCCAGTGCAAGATGTGGCAAATCCAAATGCCAGCGGTGCTGGTGCAGAGAGGTGCTGGTTATGTGGAGAACGGTGGCAAAAGCCTGTCCCGTGCCAGGGATCTCCCTTCCCACTGAAACGCGGGTGGAAAAGAAATTGGTAGTACAGGAAGGGGGGGAAGGTCGAAGGAGGTCGGCAAAATACTTGACCATTTGGTGTTTAAATAGCTTTTGTGCAGCGTGTATGCAAAGTGTCAGACCAATGCGCACTGACACTGCCGAGTCACGGCCAGCGTGGGGAAAAAAGTTGACTTAAAATGTGAGCTGAAAACTAATGTGAGGGAGAGAAAAAAAAAATCACCCTGCAGCTTTTGAATTTTGTGTGGGACGTCACAGTGTACAGTCAGGGGACAGTATGTCAAGGGAAGAGAAGCACTTTAACAATTCAAATTAAACTCTTAAAAAGCCAAAAGCATTGTCATATCAGGTGAGGAAGAGCAAAAATGTTTTTCCAGCATCTCTCAAGAGCTTAAAAGAAGCTCCCCCAACTTCATAAAATCAAAGCTGCAGCAGAGTAGATGGCTGAAAATCTGAACAGTAGCAAAACCAGCTAGCAGCTGTGGGCTTATTTATGTAAAATAAGAATGTATCAGTGGGGATGATTATTGAAGTCCTTCTGGGTTAATTTCTCTAAATATTTGGGGGCCGTTCTGCAGAGTTTCTGGTTCAAGACTGGGACCACGCATAGCCCGCCTGCCTCTGCAGCAGGGTTTCTCTCAGCCCTGGTTTTCTCGGCGCTGGGGACGCGGAGCGGTGCCGGGGGGTGCCTGCGGCTCTGGACACAGCGGGCAGAAATGCTGCTTCGCTACGCCAGAAGAAGAGCTCTGGGCTTTCCGTGCCGGGAGCGGCGTGGCCGAGGCGTTTGGAGCAGGGTTAGCGCTGACCCGCGCGGCTCCGTCTCGGCCGCGCTCATCGACGCCCACGTCCTGCTGGTGCTGCGCCTGCTCTTGGCAGGGCGCAAAGTCCTCGTCGCCATCCGGGCGTCACTCGGGCGTTTATCTTCAAGGGCTCCGGTCATTACGGAGCTCAGACGGGGCAGAGGGAGGGAGGTGGGAATGAGGACTTTGGGCTGAAACCATGGCCACATCGGCAGTTCTACAGAATCACAGAATCACAGAATGTTGGGGGTTGGAAGGGATCTCTATGGGTCACCCAGCCCAACCCCCCTGCCCAAGCAGGGTCACCCAGAGCAGGCTGCACAGCACCGCGTCCAGGCGGGGCTGGAATATCTCCAGAGAAGGAGACT